CAGGCACAGTGGCTCACGCCTTAATCCCAGTACTTTGGGAGGCCAAGGCAGGTGGATCACCTGAGTTCAGGAGTTCGAGACCAGCCTGGCCAACATGGTGAAACCCCATCTCTAAAAAAAAAAAAAAAAAAATTAGCTGGACATGGTGGCGGGCACCTGTAATCCCAGCTACTCAGGAGGCTGAGGCAGGAGAATGGCGTGAACCCGGGAGGCGGAGCTTGCTGTGAGCTGAGATCACGCCACTGCACTCTAGCCTGGGCGACAGAGCAAGACTTCATCTCAAAAAGAAAAAAATTTTGGAAGGATGGCCTCAGTCTTTTAAATGTTTTGTCTTCATCTGGGAGACAATGCTTGGGTTTCCCTGGACTACTCCCTAAATTCATAACCCCTATCCATACTTTAGGGCAGACTTAACAAAAGGAGCCTATGGTCATTATCTAGAATTCTGAGAAATGTGTGGTTTTCTTTGTTTGTTTTTTGTTGTTATTTTTGAGACAGGGTCTCACTCCATTGCCCAAGCTGGAGTGCAGTGGCACGATCACAGCTCACTGTAGCCTCTACCTCCCAGGCTCAGGTGATCCTCCCACCTCAGCCTCACAAGTAGCTGGGGCTGGAGGCGCATGCTACCTCACCTGGCTAATTTTTTGTATTTTTAGTAGAGGCGGGGTTTCACCATGTCACCCGGCCAGAGGTGTGTTCTTAAACTTGGTAACTCTAAAAGTGATCCTTTAGAAACCAGCAAGATATGCCCAGGCGTGGTGGCTCATGCCTGTAATCCCAGCACTTTGGGAGGCCGAGGCGGGCAGATCACGTGAGGTCAGGAGTTCGAGACCAGCCTGACTAACATAGAGAAACCCCATCTGTACTAAAAATATAAAATTAACCAGGCGTGGTGGTGCATGCCTGTAATCGGGAAGCTGAGGCAGGGGAAGCACTTGAACCTGCGGTGAGCCGAGATCGCGCCATTGCACTCCAGCTTGGGAAATAAGAGCGAAACTCCGTCTCAAAAAAAGGAAAAAAGAAAATAAACCAGCAAGATGCTACTTCTGAGAGCCTCTTAATACAAGTTTTAAGCATTTTACCCCTGTGTTAAGATAAACGAGATTAAAAATCAAATTGTTTAAAGAAGATTAAAATGAGTAGAGGTGGGATGGTTCAATAAGTTCAGGTTTGCCAGTATGGACTTGGACTCCTGTTTCATCTCATTGGTTGGTAACTTAGAAAACATAAGTAATTACATGTGTGACTTAACCAACAAAACAGATGCCTGCCCAGTTGCATTACCTTGCTTCATAGCTTTGAAGGATTACACTCACTTCCTAGAAGCCCATTCTTTAGTGTTCCCCAGTCTTTAAAGCTTTATTGAGTACCTACTACATGCCAGGCATTGTACAGGGTGTGGGGGTACAAAGGCAAATGAGGCATGGAGAAGGGGATTCAGACATGTAATAGTTTGAATACAGCGTGGTGCAGAAGTACTCTGGCGAGCCAGAGACTTTCAGAGAAAGCTTTCTGGAAAGAATACCTGACTTGAGTCTCAAAAGATAAAGAGTTTACCAGGTGAAGCAGTTGGGGAAGAGTGATGTAGTTGTGGGTAGTAGCCCTGGAGTAAGCAGAGACAACAGATGAGAAACAGTATGGGCTGTGTAGGGAGCCGGCCAACTGATCGAGCTGGAGAAAGAAGAGGGTTCTGGCCACAGGGGTCTTATCTTCAATACTGAGGAGCTTGAACTTTATCTTGTAATGGGTCGGGGAGGAGCATCATTGAAGGGCTTTTAAATCAGGAGAGTGATATGATGAGAATTGTATCTTGGATAATCATTCTGCCAGCAAGGTTGAGAATAGATTGAGGAAAGCCTGAAGGGTAGCCGAGAGACCATTCACGTCTTGGTGAAAGATCTAACCCCATTCCACCTTACCTTACTCTTCTCTACTTTAAATGTTTGATGTAGGATATCTTGGTACAAAGCCAGTGGGCAGATGAACAGAAGTGATGAGAAACAGAATCAGAAGTGACACCCTTCAGGGTTAATTTTGATAGGACAGCTACTGAAGCATAGCAGAGTCTGTAGGCCTTTGAAAATTACTTGCATGCATTTCAGTAGTTTAGATATGGCCTTTTGCAGAATTACATTGGCGAGAATGAGCGGAGACTTACAGGTGACATTCACCTGTGATCCTCTAGGGCTTGGAGACCTGTCCTAGCAGGCCATTGTTTTTCCAGTTTCTTGATTCCTGGTAAGCATCTTCCTGAGATTTCACTAAGGAAACAGGAAGCAAGGGAAGTAATGAGCTGTGAAGCCTTGATGGGCATCTGACGTGTATGCTTAGGGCTCTGGGGAAACAGGGAGCTAAGAAAATTTGCCAAGTCAAGTGCTATTTTATGTAGAAATGGTAAAACAGCATAACTTTAAGTGCTGAGAAAATAAGGAGAGTCCTTGTATAGTAAAAATACTCAAGTTTGGTTTTTGTTTTTGTTTTTTTGTTTGTTTGTTTGTTTTACTATTTCTCCCATTCTTCGAAGAAAAATTTCCTGCATACCATTCCAAGTAGGTTACTTAACCAAGAACCCAAAGATAGGAATTTCTTTTTTTTTTTCGAGACAGAGTTTCACTCTTGTTGCCCAGGCTGGAGTGTAATGGCATGATCTCGGCTCAGCGTAACCTCTGCCTTCTCAGTTCAAGTGGTTCTCCTGCCTCAGCCTCCTGAGTAGCTGGGATTACAGGTGTGTGCCACCATGCCCAGCTAATTTTGTATTTTTAGTAGAGATGGGGTTTCTCCATGTTGGTCAGGCTGGTCTTGAACTCTCGACCTCAGGTGATCCACCCGCCTCCACCTCCCAAAGTGCTGGGGTTACAGGCGTGAGCCACTGCGCCCGGCATCAAAGATAGGAATTTCTTAAGCATAGATGTAGTCTGTTTTGTTTTTTGTTTTTGAGACGGAGTCTCGCTCTGTCGCCCAGGCTGGAGTGCAGTGGCACTATCTCGGCTCACTGCAACCTCTGCTTCCCAGGTTCAAGCCATTCTCCTGCCTCAGCCTCCTGAGTAGCTGGGACTACAGGTGCGCGCCACCACGCCCAGCTAATTTTTGTATTATTAGTAGAGACAGGATTTCACCATGTTGGCCAGTCTGTTCTCAAACTCCTGACCTCGTGTTCCGCCTGCCTCGGCCTCCCAAAGTGCTGGGATTACAGGCTTAAGCCATCATTCCTGGCCTGTTTTTTGGTTGTTTGTTTGTTTGTTTGTTTGTTTTGAGATGGAGTTTCACTCTTGTTGCCCAGGCTGGAATGCAATGATGTAATCTCAGCTTACTGCAACTTCCGCCTCCTGCGTTCAAAGGATTCTCCTACCTCAGCCTCCCAAGTAGCTGGGATTACAGGTGCCCACCACCACGCCCAGCTAATTTTTGTATTTTTAGTAGAGATGGGGTTTCACCATGTTAGCCAGACTGGTCTCGAACTTCCGATTTCAGGTGATCCGCTGTGTGCACAACCTCTATATTATAAAGATACAAGGAGGGGAGAGATCCAATCATTGTCCTAGTCCCTCTAATAAAATAAATAAGAGAACTACTGAAATGGGCAAAGCATGAGAAGTGCCAAAAGAGAACTAAACGATGCAGCAAGAGGTCCAAGATACAGGAGTAATATGAACTCATGGAAAAGCTGTTTGGTTATCTATTGTTGCATAACAAACAACACCAAAACTCAGTGGCCTGGTATAGAAACTCGTTATTATCTCTCACAGTTCTGAGGGTTGCCTGGGCTCTGCTGGGTGGTTTTTCTGTTTCACATGATGTTGGCTGGGACTGCAGTCATTTGGAGGCTTCACTGAACTGGTATATCACATACCATGACTCACTCACATAGCAGTAGTTGCTGCTGTGTGTTGGCTTGGAGTTCAGCTGAAGCTGTTTTTTTGTTTTTTGTTTTCTCAAGATGGAGTTTCGCTCTGTTGCCCAGGCTAGAGTGCAGTGGTGCGATCTTGGCTCACTGTAACCTCCACCTCCCAGGTTCAAGCAATTCTTCTGCCTCAGCCTCCCAAATAGCTGGGATTACAGGCATGTGCCACCATACCTGACTAATTTTTATATTTTTAGTAGAGATGGGGTTTTGCCATGTTGGCCAGGCTGATCTTGAACTCCTAACCTCAAGTGATCCACCAGCCTCAGCCTCCCAAAGTGCTGGGATTCCAGGTGTGAGTCACCGCACCCGACCTAAAACTGTTGATTGGAATACCTTGTCTCCTCCATGTCCTCTCTCATAGCATGACAGCAGGGCTCTAAGATGGAACTTTCCAAGCATATTTTTTAAAAAGTAGAATCTGCAGATCTCTTAAGGCCCAGCTTTGGAAGTTGCAACATTGTCACCTCTGCTGCAGTCTGTGATCAAAGCAAGTCATAAGACAAGCACAATTCAAGAGGAGGGAAAGGGACTACCTGTGGATGGGAGGCAGAGCAAATAATTTGCAGCTGTCTTTAATCCATCACAGCTGATTAAGGCAGCTATGAAAGGATGAATAGAGTTTTGACAGGCATAGCTTTCTAAAGGAAGGGTATTCTAGAGGAAGAAATAGGAAGTCTTCCATTTGATTAGTGGGAAGAGCACCTGAAGGGGTCTGGGAAGATGGAATGGGTACATGTGACAGGGCTTTGAACAGCAGTTAGAAAAGCTTGGCCCTATACTAACAGGCTTTAAGAAAACAGTGTGGAGGACCTCTCAGGTATTTTATTATACCTTTCCCTAACACTGGGTTATTACACCTTAAACCCAGTGTTAATAGCTCTGGATTTGGCTTCTGTCTCTAAGGCGTGGGAAGGGATGCTCACTCCTTAGGTTATTATGAGTGATGCTGACTTAGGCATTTTGAAGGAGGAGACAACCCTAGCAGTCCTGCAGAACTGGCCACAATAGGAGTTTAGGAACATGCAAACCTAGCTAGGCTTTTCCTACTGCCTCAAAGGGCTAGTTACTTAGTCTTGCCCTTGTCTGTTCCCCACAGTAACCCTCCACTGAGTGAAGAAATGTTGCCTCCTGGAGAGTGGATGTGTCACCGGTGCACTGTTCGCCGAAAGGTAATAATGCTGCTTTCTGAAGACTGTCCAGAAAGCCTGATCCAGAGCACTGATATGCTAGAGCTCAGACGGCCTAGCCCTGAAGGCATTCTTGTCCCTTCTTCTTGTCTCTTCCAGCCCTGGAATCACCCCACTCTTCCCATGGTGACTGTTTGGAATCCAGTAGGGCCTAAAAATCCAAACATGGGCTGCTGAAATGGGCAGAAGAGGTGTGTTAACTTACTGAGCCGTGTTTAGTCACTAGTGACAGGAGTAGTCTTATCTTCTTGTTAACTTCCTAATAAGTGGCCTGAATGTGGCAGCCTTATCCATGACTGAAGAACGAAGGCTGCTTCTCCAGCTTGATGGAAAATGGAGTTTTCTCTCACCCCAAGGCAAATAAGTCACTGGTATCCAGAGACTTGTCATACTGACGGAGAGGATTTTGAACCCATTTGTACCCCAAGTTGCCTATCTTTCTTTAGCTTCCCGTCCTTCAGCTTTGATAATTTAGTACTGGCTTCAAGAATATGGTTTATTATTTTCTACTTTCAGAACTCTTGTGGGCAACAAGAGCTATATTCTCCCTTATTAAAAAAGGAAGTAGGTGTGCTTGCACCCAGATTATGATTGACCCAACCCTCAAATTATAGGCTATGGATTAGAATTTGTGCATTGTAATCCACCCCACTGTACTCCCCACACTAATTATACACCAAGCAACTTTCCTATGTTGTGACCTCACCTCTATTTGCCTGGTCCCTGAACGTGATGTCACAATGAATGATGACTTCCTTGGTTGCAGAAACAGGATGAGATGATTCAGGTTGTGGTTTATGTGTGTAACAGTTTCAGCCTTTAAGAAAGAAAGTAAACAAGCAGACATTATTTTTCAAATATGTGCATAAGGGTTCATATTAAAAAGCAAGCCAAAGCCCAGTCAACCACCTAACCACAGCTGTAGTTAAATTTCTCCATAAACCAAGCTATCTTCCAGCCTCTCCACCTTCCAAGATCCTTTCCTGTGCATCCCTAATTAGGTAAGAGCAGGGCTAGTTAGAGGCACCTGCCAGCTAAGAGCCCTCTCAAACTTGCCACTCAAAAAAGCTGGACCTGAAAAGGTTTAGGGGAGCTGAAGGAAAAGAGGTAAAGAGGGTGGAGAAAAGGAAATACTATGTTAGTTTGTATGCCAGGTGTTTTAATTATGTTATCCCATTATTTCTGTGACTTTTTTTTTTTTTTTTGGAGGCAGAATGTCATTCTGTCACCAGGCTGGAGTACAGTGGTGCGACCTGGGCTCACTACAACCTCCCCCTCCCGGGT